CCCTGGTCCCTCAAGTGGAAGGGTTCATGAAATTTTGAGTTTAAAACTTAGGAATCACCGATGAAGTACGAGATAAAGTTAACAAAAGAATCATGTATGTAGAAAAAAATATTAATGAGTAATGAATCATCGCGCCAAAGGCAGGAATTACGAACCTCAAAGGTCAAATGATTGTCATGATTCTAATTTCACGCATGCCCAAACTCTTAACGGATTAAACAAATGAAGAAATGAGAACGTACCATACATTATATACCTCCACGAGATTATACGCTATTGTAAATACTTGATACACGACTGTCTTTGTAGTGTTTGTATGTTTGTTTGTCCCTGAACCTAACCTGACACATCCTGACCAATCTGACTATTTTTAGTATCCACTTGGTATTTTAACGCTGCTCACATGCGTTATCTCTTTTCATCATAATGTCATTATGCATATTCTCCATACTGTTCTTTATACGTTTTCTAAGATGCTGACAAGGAGATTTTGTTTACTGATCAGAAGGTTCTTTTGTTGGGCATCATTTCCTTCATTCTCATGACCTTAATGTGTGATTCAGGGGTGATATTGTAAGGAGAAATTAGATGCTGGTCACTCTTAGGGGCTGGAGGGTTAAGCTGAAGTTGAGGTGTGGCACCAAAAGAGACAGTTGTAAACACCTCTAGCCTTGGCGTGAAATTTAACTAAAAAAATTATGACAAGTTATCAGTGCCTGAAATGTCCGTCTTACCTACCTTGATAAAGGTAACTGTTACTTTTCATAATGATGTGGAATGTCCACTTGAAATAAAGTTTTCATTGTTTTGTCCTAATCTACGTTAAGTTTTTTTTAAAACGGTGTTTCTTTTCCCTGATTGATTCAACAGCTGACACAAACTGTGATTCACCACTTCCTGAACTTACTAGAAGCTCTTCAAGAGTGCAACTCCACTCCACTACCCAAGGTAAACATGTGCCGAACACCTGATGGAGCTAAAAATTTGGCTTTTTTTTGGTGAAAACACGATACAACCACGGTCTTGACAAAGCTATGCGCTTTGGCTGCGGTTGAATGTTGTGTTGAAAATTCATTGCATGTTTAAAGCAAAAAAAGTTTTTAAACTTCCTTAGTTTCCCTATTGTTAAAATTGATCTTTTGCTTTTGCCCATGGTAAAGGTGAAATTAACGAGATAATTTCTACGTTTTGAGCCTCATCTTTCATTGACGGTAATGAAACATTAAAGAACTGTTTATATTTCTTTTAATCAGCTTTATCCGAGTGGTACCTACCGCTTCTTTCAAAAGGTGGGTGAGGGAGTTCATTGTACATTAAAAAGAATAGAAACCGTTACAATATTTCTTTTGAAGAAAGTAAAGTGCATGCAGCTTCGTATGCTGCAATAAACTGTGAAAACTAATTGAACTTCGTGTATTTTTACTTAAATCCGAATTGCTATAAGTTTAAAAATCGCAAGGCGATGATAAACAATTGTTTGACACGTGTCATGGAAGAGGTTTGCTAATAAAACGCGCTCAAGTTTTTTTAAACATCCTAATTAAGCTAATCTGTTGTTTACTCATGTAGCAATCTGACACCACGTATGCTCGTTTGCGCAAAGCTCAGTCCCGAAAGCGGATCAACAAGGACAAAACAGCTGCGATTCAAGATGGCGCTCGCAGAACAGTCACCTCACAATTCCTTGTTGAGTAGAACATGAAAACACTCGTGAATTGCGTGGACAACTTCCACGCAAACTCAGATCGGCAAAAGTTGTCACTCGGGTGACATGGCATACCATAAACGAAGATGAATAAAGTATATATAAATATTATTGTTATTATCAACTAAGGTCGATTAAAGAAGAAATAAAAAAATTTGTCAAAACAGAAAAATGGACAGTTTAGACTTATAAGTTAATGTTTTTGGGAGCAGCGTCTTTCTCGTGGCTATATTCCTCCCTTGAGCCTTGAGGACAAGAACATTTTAGAGAGCAGTTCAAGGTAGGCCCTTATGAATTGTGCTAGCAGGACATGATTTTTGGAATAATTTGGACTTAATGTGTTTTTTTTTTAAGGTCTTGCTTCAAGAAAAAGTAGCATAATTTTCAAAAACGAGTATAATTTGGAAAAAAAAAATCGAGCAATGCCAGTGGCTTAACATGCTACTTTTACGGTTCCATAATGCAAGCAAGCCGAACTGAGGACCATTCTGACTAAGAACTGAATGCTTGGTTGGTTTAGCTGTGAGGCTAATATTGTCAACCATCGAAAAAAAAAACATTGTGATAGAGATAAAATGTTTCATAGGCTTTTCAGGTGATTTTCACGCGCTCCACACGAGCATATCAATTTTATATGTGAGAATGAGCTCGTTGTGATAGTCGTTTATTTTACCATTGCGAGCTTTTCATTATGCACAGATAAGCTTCCTGTATAGGTTTCTTACTCTGTTTGGCTGCGCGGGGCTTGGGTTTAACTCCAGGCCTTGCTCGGTCACTTCCGGGTTTACTGAGACATTACGAGCATTTGGTTACCCCAATCAGATAGGAATACAGATTGTTTGAGGGTTGTTATTCTCTTATGACGAAAGAGAAATGGGGAACACATCCTCAGCCGAGGAAATTAAACTCGGAGATAAAATTGGAGAAGGTTCATATGGTGAAGTGTTCAAAGCCGTGTGGAACGGGAAGCGAGTAGCTGCCAAACGGATTCGACCTGACTTCTTCGAGCGTGATCATGATGGAAGTATTAGAGTTGCTTTCTCGGAAAATTTTAAGAAGGAATGGGAGATACTCCGTAGCATTGATCACGACAATATTGTGAAATATTACACTGCCATTGTCCCTCCGACTCCCGAGAGTCCCATTATTGTGACAGAGTTGCTAGAGTGCGATTTGGCGAAACACATTCGGAACTCAACGACTAAACCAAAGGTTCCTTTCTCAGACGTTATCAAAATCATGCTGGACGTCGGTAAAGGTTTACATTACATTCATACCCTTAAAGAACCGGTCGTCCATCGCGACTTGGCGAGCAAAAACGTATTGTTGACAAAAACCTTGCATGCAAAGATTGCAGATTTGGGTCAGGCGAAAGCGTTCCCTCGTGGTGCAATGTACGCGACTGCCATGCCGGGAACACCCGTGTATGCCGCTCCAGAAACGTATTCCACAAGGTTAAGAGGATCTCTTTGGCGTAGAGTGAGATATACCGAAAAAATCGACATATTTTCGTTCGGAGCCATGCTGCTGGAGATCATTATTGGTCACTTGCCAGTGCATTGTTTGCCTGACCCGATTCTTGAAGGTAAATGCTACCGATTTTGCCCTCGAAATGTCACTGTGCATGTTTAAACGTACATTTAGCCATAATATAATGTTTTAAACGAGATTTGCTTATGTTAAAAACATCTGGTTGGGATGTGTTATGTAGAAATATGCTTTCTAAACCTTTGACGTATCTGTTGCGCGTCACGCAATGAATCTTTACGTCATAGGCAAATAAAACTTGCGTGACTAGCCTTTATTTCGACTTTAAATATTGATTCTTATTGTTTACTAAAGGTTTGACCCAAGAGCAATACAAAAATAGCCAATAGAAGGCAAAACGGGATTTTTGCACGGTCCATTTCCCTATATTAGGTGGTTAAGATAAATAAAAGACGTTTATTTCTAAATTATTGCGGAAAGCCCAGATCATCTGATATAGTTGTTGTTGAAAAGGATCCATTTATTGAAGAAATACGGGAAAGTTTTTCGATAGCCTGCAGAGTAGGCGTAATTTTGTCGAGCGAGTGAGTTTTTTCATGGTAAAAAGGATAGCTGCCATCTTTGATTTAAACGGCAGCGTAAGGCTGATTAAAGATAGAAATTTGTACCAAAGGGGTGACCAGCCGTCAAAAGGAAGGAGAGAGGAGTGGGTGAGTCTCTCCACCCACTGTCCACTTAAATATCTAAATCAAACATGGCCAGTCCAACGATCGTGAGCATGTAACGTTGACTCACCCTAATAAGTTTTACAACTACTGTTCGCAGAGTGCTGCTCACTAGTTCAGCTTTAAAAAAATGCACTTGCAATGAGGTGTACTGCAAAGCATGAGTCCCTCCTTAGTAGAGGGGTTGGTAGGGCAGTTAAAATGGGTTCTTTCCTTCGACCTACTTCACGTAATCTTCTTTTTGCTACGATCTGAGTTTAGCAGGTTTCTTATCATTACCTTAATTTCAGATGGGGAAACAGTTCCAGAGTACATACGCCGTAGTGAAGACCTGGAGGAAATGGGTCCTGACCATCCCCTCCACAGCCTCGTTTTACAGTGCTTGGACAACATTCCCGAGAGAAGGCCCAGTGCTGGAAAGATAATAGAAGAACTTCTGAAATTCAGCAAAGTTGTGGATGAAACATTATCCAGTAGCCCCACTGGGGACAAAGTTGGTACCATGTCACACATTCATTATGATCACAAGTTTAAGCTTGTCGTACTTGGAGAGTCCGGCGTGGGTAAGACATCTATCGTGACACGATTCCTGAATGCCAACAGCCAGCTCTCCGAGATAACACTTCCGAGGACACTCCAGTCCGAAGATCACTTTGAGCGACTGCGTTTCCGTGATAAGTCAGTCCATCTTCACATCGTCGATGTAGGCGGGCACGAGTTAACCAAAGCCTCCTGCTTAGCGCCTCAGATTTTTCGCCGCGTTCGGGGCGCGGTCATAGCCTTTGACCTCCTTTCTGAGATGTCTTTCTTGGAAGTGCCGAATTGGGTCAAGGTTGTGAGGGAGAAGTGCGGGGAAGAGCTTCCCATTGTTCTAGTTGGAAACAAAGATGACGAATTGGAGAGATGGGTTGATTCGCGCAAAGTGGATGAATTCGTTAGAAGAAAGAATCTGTTTTACATAGAGTCGAGTGCCAAATCTGGAAAGAACATCGATGAAATATTCTCTGTTCTCATGGACTTGATGATCAAATACGAAAACCAAAAGGAAGGTGAATCTAAGACAAGCGATTTAGTGGCTTCCTTACGAGAAAGCCTTTCTGAAAGGGTCACCTGCCAGGAGAAGTCCCCCATTACTGAACGCCTCCTTACCCTTCGTAGTGACGCCCTCGATGCGGGAGTCATAGAACTCAAGGAAGAAAAGGAAAACAAAGAGACGATGGAGCAAGACGAGGGCGACAGGAAAAGGAAATCACGGTGTTGTTTGTTGAACTAAAGTAAAGGATTACAAAATGGCGATTGATTTTTGTTTACATTCACAGTCACTTCCCTTACCATATTTATCGCTGTATTATGTTTATTTTGATAATAAAGACATTACAGCGGGTTTTTTCTTCCGATCAGTGAAAATCAGTTCCTCGGAAAATGTTTTGCCATTGTTTGCGTCGTTTCGAATAAAATATCAGTGTTGAATAAGAATCTTTTAGAGATTTGGACTTTCCGGGTTGTGCCTGGTGACGAAAGGCAATACCCTTGGTGCCCATGCTAACTAGGATGAAATGGACTTTTTGTTGAGTCATATGGCGAAATTCCTATAACTTTTTCGCCAATGACTTTATTTTTAACTCCTTCCTCCCGTGGACTTGCTCTTTTTAGCGCCTTTTCTTCCTCGCTTTTTGCTGTTCGTGTGCATCGGGAATAACATCTGAATAATATTGAGCTACAGTTGTGTGGTGAACGTAGAGTGATATAAACGCTCTAATTTTTATTATGGTCCTTAGAGACGTGAAAGCATTAATAAAACTAATATATAAATGATTGCAGAGCTGGTACGAGTTTAGTAAATATCATGATAAAAAGCGGTATATGTCTGATGAAAAATTTCTGTACAAGTCTCGAACAGGGATGAACATTTAACAAACAATCTCCTGCATTTACAGCATGCGCGAATAGGAGGTAAATGTTTCAGTTGCTCGCAAAATATGACGGGGCTCAAGGATATACGAAGAAAGCATTGTGGATCGGAAAAAAATTGGCGACGGAGAACAAGAGGCACGCATTTATCAGTAGTCTTACAACCAAGCAGGTTGTACTCTAAGCAATAAATTCAGCGAGACTGATACATTAGGCTTCCTATGGTAATGCTGAACGAGGGGAAATTGCCCTAGCTTTCCCCTAGGTGTGCAACTAACTATATTCCACGGGAAGAGTTATAAGTCATAAGTCATAAGTTACGTAGTCAAGCGGATTAATTTTTTTTTAATCTCTGCGGCGAAAATGATCAGGTCACGTAAAAACCAACAAAATTTAAGTGATTTCTCCGCAAAGGTAAAAAATTTAGGCAAACCAAGCAAATTTCAACGCATTCTCTCTTTTATCTCTTTTGTACATATTTCGAAGAGAGTTTTTCAAGATTGAAATTACTTGAATTTTACTGCAAATTAAATATTTCCCCGTTTAAAATGCAGATACAATGTCAAACAGTGGGGCATCGTCGATAAATTTATATCATTATCCTCTTTTTTTTAAAAAAAAGTAAAAAACACACACACACTCGTTAGAAGACTTTGGCAGGCATAATTCACTTGGTAATTTATTATACTGTTAATTTTTTTCCTCGTCAAGTACATATTTTTAAGCCAGTCAAGCAGATTAACTCGATAGTAAACTTCTCAAATGACTACATCAATTGTACGGTTTACCACCACGATGAGCAACAACCTCTTTTTATGATTAAAATAGTGAAACGACGATTGAATAAAATTCACGGTGAAGAATTATGCAGGAAAAAAAAAACAGACTACTGACAGAATGAAAAGTACGAATTAACTATAAGTAACGCCAAACGAATTTTTTGCGTCATCAAATAATAATTAACTTCGGCTGCGCCGTTTATGGTTATACTCCAGGCCTCGCTCGGTTGCACTTCCGGTTATTGACTATTTACTGTTAGTATCTAATGACGAACAGACTTTCACATGTCGATCTTTCTCTTGCTTCTGAAACGGTATGGAAAATACATCTTCGATTGAGGAAATAGAATTCGGTGACAAAATTGGAGCAGGTTCGTATGGCGAAGTGTGGAAGGCCGTGTGGAAAGGCAAGCAGGTTGCTGCCAAACGGATTCTACCTATCCTAGTGATGGAAGACTACGATGTCAGTCAAAGAAAAGCCATCTTAGAAAAGTTTAAGCAGGAATGGGAGATTCTCTGCAGTATTCGGCATGAGAACATTGTGCAATATTACACTGTTATTCTACCACCTTCTCCAGAGAGTCCCATTATTGTGATAGAGTTGCTGGAGTGCGATTTGGCCAAACACATTCGGAACTCAACGACTAAACCAAAGGTTCCTTTCTCAGACGTAATTAAAATCATGTTGGACGTCGCCGAAGGTTTACACTATATTCATACGCTAAAAAAACCGATTGTACATCGCGACTTGGCGAGCAAAAATGTACTGTTGACGAAAACCTTGCATGCAAAGATTGCAGATTTGGGTCAGGCGAAAGCGTTCCCTGGTGGTGCAATGTACGCGACTGCCATGCCGGGAACACCCGTGTATGCCGCTCCAGAGACGTATCCCACGGGGTTGGGAGGACTACCGAGGGGCGATAAAGCGAGATACTCCGACAAAATCGACATCTTCTCGTTTGGAGCCATGCTGCTGGAGATTATTATTGGTCATTTACCAGAGGGTAATTTGCCTGACCCGGTTCTTGAAGGTAACTGCCTCCGGGTTTTTGTTTTAAAATTTGGATGGCCGTGTTTTAACGAGCGATTGATCAAGTTACCCAGTGAATGACTGCCGTGACTCTCTTGAAAACAGTTGCATTTCCACTTTTTTCACGCTTGTTGACAGACTTCGATGCAACTCTCATTAATTCAAGCTAGGTGCCTCGAGCGGTCACTCATTTTATGAGGCTCTCAAATCGGAAACAGAACACATCTTAACGTCTCCTCCAAAAAAAAATGAATCATTGTTTATTTCATGATCGCTATAATCTTAATTCATAATGCGACTACCGGGCAATTCTAGATGGTTTAATCATGATACAAAGTTTTTCAAAAATTGTCGCTCAAGTGAGACATATTGGGCTTTAATTTGTTTCAAGTCACGCTATCAGCTGCATAATAGTTGCGTGACTTGTTTAAGTCAGCGTAAACTATTGATGCCTATAATTCACAGCTATGATTGTTTAAAAGGCATTACATGTCGATCCTGAAGTTTTCGCGCCAAATTGAGGCTATTGGGGTATACCACTGCACGAATGCAGATAGGTTCTTTCCTTGGCCTACTGCGATTAGTGCCTTTTTCCCATCATCATCGTCTTGTGCTGAATTTAACAGCTTTCCTTATAAAAACTTTAATTCCAGATGGGGAAATAGTCCCAGAGTACAAACGCCGTCATGAGGACCTAGAAGAGATGGGTCCGAGCCACCCTCTACGCAATCTTGTTTTGCAGTGTTTGGAAAACTCTCCTGAGGAAAGGCCCAGCGCAGGTGAGATTAAAGAAAAACTCAGCAAGGCTGTTAGCGAGACACTATCAGGTAGCCCCTCTGATGTTAGGGATGCCGTTAAGTCCATTGATCATTATGATCACAAGTTTAAGCTTGTCGTACTTGGCGAGGCAGGTGTGGGTAAGACATCTATCGTGACCCGATTCCTGGATACCAACAGCCAGCTTTCTGAGATATCGTTTTCAAGAAACGTCGAGTCTGAAGATCACTTTGTGGGACTGCGTCTCCCTGATAAGTCAATCCATCTTCATATCGTCGATGTAGGCGGTCACAAGTTCACCAAAGCCTCCAACCTAGTGCCTCAGATTTTTCGGGACGTGCGGGGTGCGGTCATTGCCTTCGATCTACTCTCTAAAAAGTCTTTCTTGGAAGTGCCAAATTGGGTGAAAGTCGTCAGGGAGAGGTGCTATGAAGAAATTCCCATCGTACTAGTTGGAAATAAAGATGAGGAGTTGGAGAGAAAGGTTGGGTCGCAAGAAGTGGAGCAGTTTACCGAAAGAGAGAGTATGTTTTACACTGAAGCTAGTGCCAAATCTGGAAAGAACATTGATGAAATATTTTCTGTTCTCATAGACTTAATGATTGAATGTGAAAACAAAAACGAAGGTGAAGCTACGGCTAATAGTCTTCTGGTATCATTGCGAGAAACCCTTTCTAACAGGGATGCCAGCCAGGAGAAGTCCCCCATTGCTGAACGCTTCCGTACCCCTCGTCGTGACGCCCTTAATCTGGGAGTCATAGAACTCAAGGAAGAAAAGGGAACAATGCAACATGACGAGAACGGCAGGAAAAGTAAATCACGGTGCTGTTTGTTGAACTAAAGTGATCGAGGACGATGTTAAACACGGATGAACATTAGATTCGCGGGAAGGAGGGGGGGAGGAGGTTTAGGCCTCCCACATTTTTGAAAAAGACTCGTCTTACTAAGCATTTAGCAAGCCCTTACCCCTGCCCCGTTGGCTGAAGCTCATGCGTTCGTCTTTAGAAATACCCCTTCCCCTCTCAACTTAAAAATATTCATCGTTATCCTCTTTACTGCATAATGTTCGCTTGTGGACACTATCATCTAATGTCAATGTCATACTTTAAGCACTGATGTCTGATCTTGGCCACCTGTGTCCGATTTTGGTCTTTATTGTCCAATTTTGGACACTAGCTGTGATTATAGATAGATACTGGAGTCGGATTTAGATCGTAGTGTTCAACTCTGAGCGAAAGTTTCCGATTTCAGACGCAAGTCCCTCCCTCGTCGTCAAAGAACTCTATTATCTTCATCAAAGACCAGAGCCAGTGGTTCAGAGACTGGTCATTATTTGTCACGGGGGGGGGGGGGGGGGGGGGGGGGGGGGAAGGAAGTTAGCTGATCCTCCCCCTGTTGTACTCTAGTGATGAGCTCATTGGCAGTCAATTTTTCCTACAGTCTCCTCTTTAAACTCTGTTAACGACGACCAACCCCCCACCCCCCGTTCCCCCTGAAATCCATGTGACCTTCCCCCCTCCCTGGTCCCTCAAGTGGAAGGGTTCATGAAATTTTGAGTTTAAAACTCACCTCAACTTCAGCTTAACCCTCCAGCCCCTAAGAGTGACTAACATCTAGTTTCTCCCTACAATTTCACATCACCCCTAAATCACACATTAAGGTCATGAGAATGAAGAAAATGATGCCCAACAAAAGAAACTCTTGATCAGTAAACAAATTCTCCTTGTCAGCATCTCAGAAAACGTATAAAGAACAGTATGGAGAATATGCATAATGACAT